AGTCAGCACGTTAACAGATTGTCCTATAGATAGTGGGCCCGGGACACTTGTTTCTAGGGCAAACAGATGGCTGAGAAATGAGTTTAGGAATCTTGAGTTACAGATCATGTCTTTTGTCCCAGATTAAGCACATTTAATCATTAATTTGAAAGAACAAAGGAGACTGCTCCATTTTGGACAAAATGGAGTCATTCTGGTCTCACATTAGCAAAATGGAGTCACTTTTGGTCTCACACTTTATGCTTAAAGACTGGGTGATTAACATAATAAACATTGGCTTGGGCCGGAGATTTAGCTCAGTGGTTCCAGAGCCTGCCTCACAAGTGCAAGGTCCTGAGTTCAATCCCTGTACCCGCCCCCCTCCCCCCCAATTGGCTGGCTATGGAGCATTAATGAGCTGTGGACTCATGCTCATTCTTCTCAGCCCTGTCAGGAGTAACTGATGATTAGTCTCACTCTTTGGAGGTGTAGTTCCAGGTTTAAGTGCAATCCTGTGTGAACCATGGAGCCTCAGTTGATCTAGGGTTGATTCTGTTCTTGGTAGATATTTTTACCCTTTTCATAAGGAATCTCATGTCTGGATTCATAAATAGTGGTTTCTCAAAAAAAGAAGACCCAGATTGGGTGATTGTAATCAGAAGGTAGGTTAAAGGATGTCCTTTAGAAACTGAAAAGTATGATGTTCATCTTAAGTGTCCCCTGCAGGGTTATCATTCTTTGGTTATAGGGCGAGCCAGTTGCGTCCTATAGAGATGCACCACACTCTGAGCCAAACTGAGTCCTTTATTATTGTCATTAGCCAGAGATGGAGAATGGCTTGAGCCAGAAAAGAAAAAGCAGCATGCAGGGTCCTTTTAAGAGGCTCTTCTTATTGGAGAGGGCTCAGGAAGAGGGGAGTGCAAGCGGAATTTCACAGGAGCAGAACTTTGCTAAATTAGTGGAGCTCAGGGGAATTTTCACACAGTTTAGTTGAAACAAAATATCACACAGGTACAGAGTATCACGTTTACAAGGTTGTAAAGATAACATAGGTGCATATTGCTCTACCAAAAGGTCACAAAGATAACATACAGTTGCAGACTCACACAATTCACATTGATACAAATGGATGTTTCTGATTGGGTCAGGAGAAAGGGACTATTTAACCCAGCACTTAACCTTTGAAATAGGCTGGCTATAAATTCTCCTTCTTGCAGAAATGTCCTTAGGGTAAAATGTAAATGGTTTTCTCCCTAGCATTTCAAAGTGCCAGTGGCTGAATAAAGGTGTATCACTAGGGACTAACCCCCAAGATAGGTCTATCATTGCCATGTTAGGGGCCCTAGCTTTGTATTTCCCATGCTCTGCATATTTCATTGGTTTGTTGTTCTTAAGGGCATGGGATTAGCAGTCTGCCTGCCTAGGCTCACACAGTGCTACAGACAGACTTTGGGCAAAGTGTTTGTAATCTCTCTGAGCCTCAATTCTCTCATCTGTAAAATGGAAATAAGTAGAATGCCTATCATAGTGAAAAAAAGAGCCACACCTCATACATGTTGGCAATGATTATTATGAACATTTTTGCTTGCATCTGTGTGTTTTCTTTCCTACTTCTAGGGAAGACAGGGTGGCATTGGAAGGACTATGGGTTTGGAGGACAGATATGTGGATCCTGGCGTTAAGTCTCTTACTAGCTGTGTGGCTCTGACAAATCACTTAACTCCTCAGGCCTTGCTTTCACAAATACAAAACTAGGATGTCACTCCTCACTAACAGAGGTCTCATAAGAATTAAAAATAATCTTCACAGAGTGCCTTGCACATCTGTTTTGTTCCAGGTGCGTGATGAATGTATGTAAGGTCATCAGAAAGGACCTATTTCTACTCTCGTACTAATGAATCCTTCCTCCACATATAATGTCTTAAAAGGATGAGACCAGACAGGAGCATTAGTCACATAAGGAAGTTGGTGATTTGTGTCAGGAACTGAAAAATGTTCATGAATTGTTATGCAAATCAACTTCATTCTTAAGAATTATTTACAGTTTCTTTAGAGTGCCCCAACTTGAAGACACTGTCTTGGTCAATATAAGTACAGGTTCTTTTTATAGTTTAACTTTAAGCTTGCCCTGGATACTTGAAGTATGTCAGGATATGTAAAAGTGGCTTGATTTACTGAGGCCAAACTTCTAAGGATAGTCTTGTTTTATGTGTTAAAGGCATAGATAACCGTTATTTCCTTTCAGGGCCAAATCACTGACTTCAGAGGACTGCTCACAGATGCTAGCAAAGGAGCAACCAATGAACTTGCCCTGAACACCTTCAATTGTAACCCAGATCCCTCTGTAAGTAGCTCAGAGGTGCTGTCTGGCTTTTAAACTGCCAAAAGTCCAATTGAAATTTAGAAACATCACTTTGAATATAGTCAAAGCTTAAGATGAAGTCAAAGGTCATAGCAAGTTGTCACCAGTTGTTTCACTAAGATCCTGTTTTTTCTTTTATATTATGGACCAATATGGTAACAAAAGCCTTTTCTTCTCATCAGGAACGATTGCTGAAACCTCTGAGTGCATTTATTGGCATAAACAGTGAGATGCGAGAATTGGCAGCAGTGGTGAGCCGGGTAAGATCTACTATTCAGTTCACAAATTTACTGAGGCAGATTGGTGCTCCTGGAGCATTGTGGGCTGCTTCTTTTATTAATAACAATAAATATGATCATTTATTTATAAAGTACCCCCACTTGCAAAGGCACTCATATTGTTTAGAGGCACAATAATGCATGATAAATAAATTATAGAATCATAAAATTACAATATAAAAAGCCCACCATCTCATGATAGGGGCCAAGAAAACTGAAAGAGGAAAACAGAAAGGAAAGGACCGGTGAAAGGTTGTATAACAGGGCCCAGTGTCAAGGAAAGAAAGAAGCTGCTTAGAGAAGCAAAGAGCATACCTGCTTCTTGTTTATAAAAATGAAAGCCTAGAAAGAGGTCAGGGTCTGATGATATCATAATCAGAAATTTCTATAAAAAACAAGACTGTTAGGAAAGATTTTACCACTGACACTGCAGATTTTTTAAGCTTGTGTCCTGGAATCTAAAGGTAGTGAAGCTTAATGGTTAATGACATGGGCTTTGGAATTAGTTGACTTGCATTTGCTTTCCACATCCATCTTTTTCTAGCTGTGTGGGTTTGGGCCAGTTTCTTAGGATGAGAGTAGATTCCTGAGCTATTAGGATATTTTTGTAATTTCTATTGATCTCATATTTGAGGTCTGATCTCATATTTGAGGGCAGGATCAGGAAGATGCTTAAAAGGATCCAAAAACACCCTGCAGGTCTGAGGAAGTGAGTGTCCTAGCTTCTGTATTCAGTTTGGTAGCTGTCTACTGCCCACCCAGTCTGTGTAAGGCACATGCAAAAGGCTGGGAACATAAAGCGGGGAACAGAGAAGACACAATCCTTGCCTGCAAGAATTTCTGGTTGTATGGGCAAGTGGAATTTGAGAGCATGAAGGAGGAATATTTTTCCTCAATGAGTGGGTAAAGTGCTAGGGAAGAATATACACTAAAAAGAGTTCCATGAGAAAGGGTGAAAGACACTAAGGGCTGAGGCCTGAGTGAAATTGTGCAGTTTGCGCATACTTCTGGTAACCAAGAGGCAAGGAGTGGTGGGTTGTGGAACTGCATAGAGGCAGGATTCCAGAGGAAGGGCACCTGGGGAGTACTTGGGACTGGGTATTGGCTTCTAGAAATGAGGTACCTTTGAATGGTGTCTCTTAGGGAGTGAGGTCATTCAATGGGCTTGTAGATAGCTTGTTATTCTAGTGATGGTGAGGTGGATGGATGATGGCAAAGCAATGGAGAAGGGGAGGTCAGCGCCATGAGGCATTTCCTTATGAGGAGGCGTGAATAATTGAGCCTGGCTGTGGTGGCTGGGATGCAAAAGAGATCAGAGCAAAATCTTTTTTTTTACCCACCAAAATCAATAGTCTCCTCACCATCTTTTTTTTTTTTTGGTACCGGGGATCGAACTCGGGTCCTTGTGCTTTTGAGGCAGGCGGCGGAACCACTGAGCTAAATCCCTGGCCCCTCTCACCATTTTTGCAAAAAGGTGACATAACTAAATATAGAATCATAGAGTGAAAGTGACCTGAAAGAATTCTGTATGGAATCTTCTCCACAGTACCATGGGAGACAGGCATTCAGCCCCTGCCTGAATGCTTCCATTGTTGAGGAGATCACCACTCATGAGGCAGTCTTGGTGGGTTCTGACTGATAACTGTGGGATGATAAGGAGAAATTTTGGTTTGGGGAATTCAACACTACCTTGTGGAACCCAGTGTCAATTCTAAAATATATTTATCTATGGATGTTTTGAATGCTAAGGTAGATGAATCCTCATTGTAGGACAAGATTTCCCTAGGAAAAAGGGTAATAAGAATACAAGTGGCCAGTGGACTTGGATGTAGACCTAAATGTAAAGATCGGGTGAGTTCTGTCAAGATTTTGGAAGACTGAGTCATTTCCCTGGCATCCCATTCAAGAATGGATGATGTGGGCCGGGGATTTCGCTCAGTGGCTCCGGTGCCTGCCTCTCAAGTGCAAGGTCCCCAGTTCAATCCCTGGTACTAAAAAAAAAAAAAAGAATGGATAATGCATATTATGCATAACCAAATCACTTTTATCATTAGTTTCCTCCATAAAAGTAGAATGCCTGTGGTGGAAGCACCAGGCAGAGGCAGAAGGGAGATAGGAGTAGGATACTGTATCATCTCACTGGCTTTTAAAAAATGTACTCTGGGGCCAGGGATTTAGCCCATTGGTTCCGGCGCCAACCTTGCAAGTGCAAGGTCCTGAGTTTGATCCCCAGTACCACCCTCCCCCCAGAATGTAATTTGATACTTTTGGAACATGTACTATATTACTTCCTTTAAAATTAAATAAATATATAGTTTCTAGATTTGTTCTGTAGTCACTCAGAGTGACTTTGGAATGGGGAGGGCATTTATTTTTATTTATTTATTTGTTTGTTTGTTTATTTATTTATTTTTGATGTGACACTCTAGACATTATTTGCCTGAAATAGCTCCTACTGAGAAAGGCACCCGAGTGACTGTTCTGAGGTGTCTTGTGAAATTGAAGCTTGAAAAGTGTAAATTAGTTATTAGTAAAAGCTGCCTTAATTGATTACCCTAGATGGTTGCTACAGGGCTCTGTGATAGGGGGAAAACTGCACTTTTGTTCAGGTGTCGAATTTCTTGAATTTTGCAGAGGCAATTGTTCCTGCTGGAAGTAGGGAGTGATCACTAGGGAAAAGAGAGAAATTGGTTTCAGAGGAGCATTATCTCTTTTATGCAACAAATTAAGAAAGTGTTTGCCAGATCAAAGAGCAAAAGAGAAGCTAGACTCCAGTGAGGAACTATGTTTCATAGTAAAAACTCCTGTAATTTGAAGGCATATTCTATAGCTTCTTTTATTATGGCTATAAATCAGCATGGTTTGCTATGGACTGGAGACAGGTAGAGTTCTTTGTTCGGCAGTTTTTCTTCCCTTTTAAAAATAGCATATTGCATCACCAGTATCTTCTTTGGAAAAAAAATCCTTGAATATTTTCATGACATCCCTTTGGTGAACCCAAAATCATAATGCACACGTATACATATATCTAATATGAAAAGTTTTTATCTCCTGCACTTTATGTCCTATTGTAAGTCAAGTATTCTACTCTTCCTGTGTTTATTACAGCAGTGGAGGAAAACATTAGTTTTAACAAAATGATCAAATGTGCATTGCAGGACATTTATCTCCATAATCCAAACATAAAGTGGGATGACATTATTGGACTGGATGCAGCCAAGCAGTTAGTCAAAGAAGCAGTTGTGTATCCTATCAGGGTAAGGACGGGAAGCCCCTCGGGGGTTATTTCTGTTTATTATCCACTGGACAAGCTGTATGTCACATTCCCATCAGGAAGGGAAGGACAGGATGATTTTTCTGTCCAGAAGTTAACTTTCTGTCTGTGTTACAACATTTTGTCAACACCAGAGCATCAAGCCTAGTCCATTCTAGACAATTTGAAGCCGTGTTTCATATTGGTCAGACCAGGCCTCTGGGTAATGTGATTATTTATCTAAAACTCTGTTGCATAAATTTGATTTGTCAGCTACTGCACATTGGTCCAAGTTAGCCTCCTTCCCTAAAAATGTACTGACTATAGTAGAAATGCCTCCTATAGGAGAGGACCTCTCACTCTGTTTCTGTAGCTCCTCCTCTGCCCTGACCCCTGTACATCTAGACTGGTTGTGAAGACTATACAGCCTTCCAGGGCAGTGGCCAGTAGGCCAGCAGGCTATGCTCATGACTTCTTCGTGACAAATCTCTGCATAGCTCAAAAAACAGGCAGAAAAGTAGAAAAACAATATTTGCCATCTTTAGTTTAGAAATAGAGTGATGAGAAAGTCAGTGTATCACATAGTTTTTGCTGTATAAGGGGCCACCCCACAACTTAGTGCTTTAAAACAACACTCATTTATTCATTTGTCATTCTATGGGTAGGAAGTTTAGGCTAGATTCAGCTGGGCTGGCTCATTTCTTTTCCATATGGTGTTATTGGTCCAGCTGTCACATGTCTGGCATCAGCCAGAGTGGCAGGGAAAGTTCAGATGGATGGGACAGCTAAGGTCTTTCTCCATTTGGCTTCTCATTCTCTAGCAGGCAAGTCCAGTCCTGTTCACATAGGGTTCCCCAGAAAGAGCAAGTAAGGGCAAGATCTAATTCATAAGCATTTCTCCCTCCCTCCCTCCCTCTCTCTCTCTCTCTCTCTCTCTCTCTCCCTCTCTGTAAGTGTGTGTTGGTACTAGGGATTGAACCCAAGCCTTCACAATCAGTTACATCTTCAACCTTTTAAAAAATTTATTTTATCTTGAGAAAGGGTCTTGGTTAGTTGGTAGAGAAACTTAGCAATTTAATGAGGACCTGTTTCAAGAGAAAAAAAAAGGTTGGGGACGTGGCTCAGAGGTAGAGTGGCCCTGGGTTTGATTCCCAGTAGCTCCCCGCAAAACACTGCTATTTTAAGAACCCACAGACATGAAGTCAGACATTCAGGCATTTTTATGCAGTAGGATTATATAATTAAGAAAAATAAAATGTATGCATAAAAGCAGAGCGTGGGGGGCGGGGATTTAGCTCAGAGGTTTCGCTGCCTGCTGCGCAAGTGCAAGGACCCGAGTTCGATCCCCGGTACCAAAAAAAAAGAAAAAGAAAAGCAGAGTGTGGACTAAAAATGAAGTACTAAGTTGTAGAGGTGGGCTATGGTGTACTCTAGCATTACTAGCTTGCTGTGCTTAGGGTATACAGGCTGATGTATTGATACCAAACCTCACCATTGTTCTTGTTTCCATAGTATCCACAGCTGTTTACAGGAATTCTTTCCCCCTGGAAAGGTCTCCTGCTTTATGGCCCTCCAGGTAAACGTTACGTTTCTGTTTTTGTGTGGTAGTGTGTATGCACAGAGGCTGAGAGGCCCCTTCTGATCTCACTCCAGAACTGGGGCAAATGGCAGCTAAGCAACCACTCCCTCCTCCCAGTGTGAGACTGACTTCTGTTTATAGGTAAGGGAATGGAGTATAAGTGCCTGTTCATATTTCTCCTGTATCTTAGGTACAGGAAAGACTTTACTGGCCAAAGCTGTGGCCACTGAATGCAAAACGACCTTCTTTAACATTTCTGCATCTACCATTGTCAGCAAATGGAGAGGGGATTCAGAAAAACTTGTTCGGGTAGGAATTCTTAATTTTTATTTAAAAAAAGTAAGTTCTAGCAGAATATGGGGGTATGAAATTATGTTAGAACTTACTTGTTTTGGGATGATATAAATGTTTGACTTTACAGTGGGTCTTGATTACCAAAAGCCTGGGAAATGGATTGACTACTGTATGTGGATATTAATCATGCCCCCATCAGCAAACCACAATCTCTTTTCTTTTGGAATTTTACCAACAGCCCTTTTTTGATTCACGCAACTTAGAAATGGAAGCCAGGGGGAAAAATTGTCTCTGAAGTAGCCTATTTTTTTCTTCATTCATTATTAAAAGTATGCAGAATATTTGGTTAACATTTACTGAAAGGCTACTATTGTATATGAAGTACTCTAAGGGAGAATTGAGAGACTTAGAATGTAATTATTCTTTCAGCTGCTCCGAGCAACTTTTTCTCCATAGTACTTATAGTTTGTAGGGCTTTTCCCTTCCCTGAAAGGTGGTTGTCTTTATTATGTCTCATTCCTAGTCTATGGTGGTATTTTACATTATAAAATTTTACCTTATACAGTCACCTCAAGAGAATACTTGTTTATAATGTATGCTTCAATGTAAGGTGGATGCATTCCAGAAATTGTTGAACTAATGCCTTCTGTAGAGCTACTGATCAGAAACCACTACTAAGTGAATAGAAAACATATTTTTTCTGAAAAATTATTTCAAAATATTACTCTGAAATTATGCTCCATTGGATGACTCATTTCCAGAAGATTATGGCAGTTTGGATGTTATAATAAAATATTTTTAAAGGAGTGGTTGATCTACCTAAAATAACTTATTATGATTTTGACATTGTTTTTAAGTTGTTTCAAGTATATATATTTTTATAACTTCTCATCATACCTTCAGAATTGTAATTTGTGAAAATATTCAATTGACATCTTCCACTTTTTTGATCATTATTTTGAGTCTAATTCAGTGTCAGGTTCAAAGATGAGGCTCATAGTTAGCTGCTACTACATTTCTGGTTCCCATGGGATTCTAGTTAGCTGGAATTTCAGTTAGCTGAAATTCAACTAACTGCAATTTTTAGCAGCCTGGGACTTTTTTGGGGGCATTTCATTTCTGTGTGCTCTGTAACAGCAAAGCCCTTAAAAGATGCCTCCGAGTCAGATTAGATTAATCTCCTGTCAAGAAAAGTGCTGTTTAGAACCGTGAGCACAAGACATTGCAAAGAGCTCAAAGAAAGATCAATTATGCCTTCTGGACAAGACTTAACTAGGCAGGAGAATAAATTCAGATATTTATTTTAAGCATTTTATTTTGTATGGTACAGGGGGTTAAATTTAAGGCCTTTGTAGTGAGTTAAACCCACAGCCCCATCCTTTTTGTTGTGTTGTTGTTGTTGTTGCTTTGGTACTGGGAATCAAACTCTGGACCACCCCCATCTTTTTTTTTTTTTTTTTTGGTACTGGGGATTGAACTTGGGTCTTTCCACTTGGGAGGCAGGCGGTGGAACCACTGAGCTAAATCCCTGGCCCCTTACCCCCATCCTTTTTGAAATTTAGAAATTTTGAGACAAGGTCTCTCTAAATTGCCTAGGCTGGGTTCAAACTTGTACTTCTTCTGCCTCAGCCTCCCCAGGGATGGGATTATGGGCATGTGCCACTCTGCCTGACCTTATGAATGTTCTTAACAGAGATTAAAGCCAAGTGGATTTTTTGTTTAATGTTAAATGGCTTGAATAATCAATTAGCAAGAACTCTCTATTCTTTATGAGCATTTTGTTTTAAACTAAAATTTCCACTGGCTTTGGTATTACTGTATTTTGTTAGAATTCTAAGAGTGAGGAAATGATTCTCCCCATAACCTCCCCATATCATGTATTTAAAAGTAATTGGCTTTTACAAAAAAAAAATTACAAAAGGATGTATAAATCCCTTAGCCTGTTCCCTGGAGGTACCTACTATTAACTGTTCTTGGTGTACCCTTTCAGAATATTTATACTTATGTTAGCATAAACAAGTGTATATTTCCTTTTCTTTTTAAGTAGAAGGAAGATATACTGTAGATCATCTTCTGTATGTTTCTTTTCCCTCTACTAAATAATATAATTTAGATAGTTTGATACTATTATAGACAGATAGAACATATTCTTTCATATGTCTACAAGGATTTATAGTTTCACATAGCATAGATATACCAAAATGTATTTAACCAGTGTTTTCTGGATGAGGATTTTGGTTGTTTCCAGTCTCTTGTGATTATGAACAGTTAGGATAGTCTTCAATATCTTTACTTCTGCACATTTATAATATTATAGGATAATTTCTATGAAGCAGAATTGCTAGATAATTTTTTTTGTTTGTTTGTTTTTGTTTTTGGTACCAGGGATTGAACTCGGGTCCTTGCGCTTGCCAGGCAAGCGACAGAACCACTGAGGTAAATCTCCGGCCCTGCTAGATAATTGTGTAATCTCAAAAAATTTTAAAACTCTTTGCTAGTCTGATAATGAAAAGTAATAATTCAGTGACTGAATGATCATTTCAGTATTTTAGTGCTTATATGTACATTCCTTTGATTTGGAATTTAAACATTTCTTCATAAGTTTAGAAGATATTTAAATTTCTCTTTCTTTTTTTTTTGGTACCGGGGATCAAACTTGGGTCCTTCTGCTTTCAAGGCAGGCAGCGGAACCACTGAGCTAAATCCCTGGCCCTAAATTTCTCTTTCTCTGAAATGCA